GAAGGCAATACAGACTTTTAGGTTGACGAATCGCTGGCCGGCCGACTTGAGTTCCGCGTAGCTGGCGGCGATGTTGGCCCAGGTGGCCTGTAGGAACTGCAGCTTGTGCTCGTCGGGGGTTTGCAGCAGCTGRCGCTGCAGATGGTCCAGCTGACTGGAGAGCTCGTTGGCCTGCTCGAAGAACTCGATGAGCAGGGAGACGTAGTCGACGCGCTTCAGCACCAGATCCTTCAGCTCAATCCAGTGCTTGTGCAGTGCCTCGGCCTTCGAGTCCACGTCGAAGCGCTGCTGCGGGCTGAGCGACTCCAGGTGCTGCTTGATGGACTCCAGCAGCAGATTAATCAGCTCGCCCTTGATCTGTGTGAGAATAGACATTGATGAGCAAAGGCTTCTTCCAGCTTCGTCTTCTTTTCAAGTTACCTCCAGATCCTGCATTAGCTCGTGATGCTGCAGCAGAAACTGTTTGGCCTGATGCAGATTGCGACCCATGTTGACGCTCTGCTGCAGCTGCAGCTGGCCGGAGGCGCGCAGCCAGGCGAGCAGCTCGTTGTGCTGCGCCAGGAATTCGTTCAGAGCGCGCTGCACGCGCTGATGATCCTCGCTGCTGTTCGCGCAGATGCCCTCGACGTACGCCTTGCGGTTCTCCAGCTCGTCCAGCACGCGCTTGATGCCCTGTGTCTCGGGCTGCGTGCGGCCCACCTCGTCCAGGATGCCATAGCCCAGACGCAGTGGCTCCTCGGTGAAGGTGCGAACGTCGCGGGATACCTTGGCGAACATGGCATAGCTCTCGGGCGAGTTGGGCGGCAGCTTGACGCTGGCCAGCTCCAGCTCGAGCTTCTCCAGCACGCTGAGCGTGTGCTCCGCCTTGGCAAAGAAGTCGCGCGACTGCTGGAGCCAATGCTCGCGCTGATCCACCAGATCCAGGTGCTCCGTGCAGATGCTCAGCACGGCGTAGGCGCGAGCGCAATCCTCGTCGCCAGCAAAGTAGCCCGGCGCCTGGACCTTCTCCTTGGCGCGGGTGATCTTGAGCGCTCGATCCCGCAGGAGCAAGGCCTGCTGCTTCCACTCCCGGTACTTGAGCAGCGTCTGGTTGGCCGTGTGCTCGCACTCGCCCAGACTGTACATGGTGTTCAGCTCGTGCTTAGCCTGCTGCAGGGCCGACTCCAGCTCGAGCAGCTCTCGGCCCAGCAGCTTCAGGGCCAGGCACTGCTCCAGCTGGGTCTTGCGCGTCTGCCAGGCCAGCTCCAGGGAGTTGCGACGATCGTGCAGCGCCTCCAGCCACTGCTGCACCTGATGCACGGCACGAGTTGCATCCCGCTTGATGTGCTCGGGTCGTGTGTCCAGCGTCTCGAGCTTCTCCAGCTCCTGCAGCTGGGCCAGCAGCTCGTTGCCATCCTTCAGCGCCGCCATGACGCCGGTTAGCATGTCGATGCGCAGCTGCTTGAATTTGTTGAGGAACTCCTGGACGCCAGCCACCTCAGCGGGCAGCGCTGCCTCGTGGCAGGCCCCCTCCAGCTGATCCATGCGCATGAAGCACTGCGTCATCTTGTCGTGGAACTGTGTGCACAGGTGCAGAATGTGCTGGCGATCCTGCAGCAGATTCAGTATATCCTGCCAGATGATGTTCAGTGTGTCGGCCATGGCATTGACTAGCTCCGAGCTGATGCGTTTGCTGGCCAGCAATTTGTCGGCCTTCTGCACGAACTCGTCCATGGGCCCAGGCAGGTTCTAAAATGAGTATGAAACACTTTGTTATATATTTGGGATTATTTGGTGGACTCTTTTAGCTACCTGTAGATTGCGCAGCGTCTCATCGTGCTCTCTTTGCATGTGCAGCGACTCATCCAGATTGTCGCCGAGCGCCGTGATCTTTGGCTCCAGCTCGACAACCTTGATGTAAATCTTTTCGGGACTCTGTGAATGGGTTATTAAATGAATTAAAGCTATAAGAGTAAGGCAAGCTAGCAATGAAACCTGAAGTAGACCTTGACTATATGAGAATTGCAGAGAGAGGCGTTCAGAAGGGCGCGCTGTCTTTAAGAGAAATGTGCAGACTTCTTTCATAGAATATTTAAAGCAATTGAAGAGAAGCTCATGAATGAGAGTTCAACTTTTATTTCTATAAAACCTAACCCTTAGCCTCATAAATGTGACTCTTGAAAATATTATTCAGAGTCACGTTCACGGCCTTCTGCCGCTCAGTCGCCGCCAATGCTGCGTTCTCATTCATGAAACAAGTCGTTGACATCGAAACCTGCTCAGGCGACGGCAATGCTGCACAGCAGCTTCTAATTTTGGTAGTCGTCGAGTTATCGATGCACAACAACAGCGACAACTGGAAGAATAACAACAGTACCCAACTCTATTGGAGTCTGTGTGTGATTGCAATGAAGGTCAGCTGTGGCTCTATATGGTAATGGCATCCGTTAGTTTTTCCTGTTGGGATGCGCATGTGTTGATATGTATATGCTAGCTGGAATACCCTGCCAGTCGGCCTGGCT